TCGTTCATGCGGAGAAGCGGCAAGTGCGAAAGCGGCAAGCACCGATGAGTTGTACTCCATCGACATCGAGCGCATGGTGCTGTAGCACATTTAGTTTGTGGCATTTGCATAAAAGGTATTTTCTGACCTCTTGAACTTATCGCGGATTTGTTCGTAACCAATTCATTTCATATACTTATTTAGTTAAGAGTTTTGTCACCGTATCTGTATGCATTATTCCATTTATTTCATTTGATATCACCGTTTCAAGTGAGTAGCTGTAGCTTGATATCCCCGGTGTGGGTGCGTTTGATGTGCATGTTGACTAGGTGCCTACCTGTCTATTACGCACTACCTCATCCAGGAGACAGTTGCCCATTGATGGAGGGGACGGGTGCACGGTCCAACTGACCATGCTAGGCTAGAAGAGTGGTTCCATGCGCAGTGTGAAGCGGACTACGGTCCAGCCACTGCCTTGTGTGCGCTTGATTCCCAAATACAGCGTGCTTGTGTTTGTCTGTGAAGGAGTTTGGACCGGCTCTGTTGATGAAAAGTGGCTTCCATCCACATGCCTCCCGGTGTTATTCCTTCGGTCTTACACCGGATATGGGGTGTGGGTGGAACTGTGGGTGGTGCGGCGCAAGCCACCCATGGTCTTCCTGGAGGCGTAGGCCTCCTGTGCCTGTCCACAGTGACAGGCAAATCTGAAACCGGATGCTGCCAACCACACACACACACACACATATATATATATATATATATATATATATATATATATATATATGATGCCGCTTTAGTGTGTTCGCGGAGGGTGCTACAATATACCGAAGATGCATCATCACAGTCGCATAAAGAATGGCTTAACCTGAGTTGGAACAACGATGAAACCACTGCGGTGAGAAAACTTGATCCGTGGCAAGTTAAATGACATAACCAACGATCAGAAATGGAACACAGACGGAAGGATTGCGCCCGTAATTGTGTAGGTTCACTTCTACAAGAGCTGGATAGTTTTGACAGATGCAAAAAGAACATGTCGAGCATGACCATCAAGGCATTTTAAGCAACACAACGGCTGTAGACTATGCAGTTCAGATGGAACAGCGATTCGGCATATATTGAAATATCCAGGTGCGGAATGCGTTGGACACAACAAATCGTTAAAATCAGTGACTATAATGAAGCGCTGGATTGGACACATACAGAAGCTTCAGCGCAATGTTCTTAGTTGAGGTCCCCAGTAGAAACAACAAACGAGAACAGTCTTGTGAAGTGGGTGTTGTTGATGTTCACGTGGGACCCAGATACGTGTTGACCATTCTAATCAGATAAGAGAATGTGATTGCCTCAGAAGTACATAACCTCGCAAATCATTCACGTAACATAACAAGGCTTTCGTGTCAAAAACGGAACGTCACTACTGTAACAAAACCACACAATTCAATAAATCAGTTCAAAATGATAGTCGTGATGAGCCTCAAACATTCGCATCGTGACTACGATTTAGGAGGGAAATTGCATTACAAAGTAGGCTCGAGTTAACGTAAGGCCCGAGCCTATTGTGACCCGATGTTTAACCGCACAATGAGCAATCACAGCATCCATATGTGGACAAAATTAGGGTTAATGTAGAGGGGTTTATGGTAGTCACTCAAGCCAAACGCGGTGAGCGATCGACTGACAACAATGTCTGAGGCTGAAAACTCCAACTGAATGGGTGAAGGAACGAATTTAGTAATGGACTGCAAAATACTACGCGACTGATGCAGATACCATACTGAAGAGCATTCCAGATGGAAATAATGCATGGTGACTAGGTTGCACAGCGAACAACTCATGAAACATCTAAACAGCACGTATTCGTAACTAGCGATAGTCTTCGACACCCTAGAGGCTCACTGAGCGTTATATCGCGTTGAAGATGAAAGGGTCCAGAATGACACAGCATATCCCTGACTGATATCAGGACATAATCCATGTCGAATACCTAAGTAAGCCTTCGAAAACTCACTTCAGTTTTTCTGGAGGGTTGCCAAGTTTATTAGAAAATAAACAGTCGTATGTCACATGGTCCACAAGCGGAGAAGTGATTTTATATGGGCTGCGCCGTGATGATGACCAACAAGTCGTGATTGACACCCATTCGGGGTCTGTGAAGGAGAACATGGTCATCCAAATAAAAGCAAACTAAGCTATCAGACGGTAGGCCCTGATACATAACTACCAAATGTCGTGTGCTAGTGGAATATATTCTGGATGTGTATTTGTCATATATCGCGATGAGAACGGGCCATAATGTGTTGCGATGGCTCACTCGCCAACATGGTAGGTTGACAAACACTGGGATGCCCATTTTGAGTGGCATCAGCTTTTCAAAACGAAGAGGATAGTGGGAGATGATTAAAACAAATTCAATATGTGCATATAGAAATTGGGTGTTGCCCGCCCGAAAACACTGCATTAGGAATCGCGGTCAATATTGAGGTTGCGTGTCGCAATCCATTCACACAACCTCAAGGTCAATCTACGCATCTTTACAGGTGGTTGGAGAGAAACCAATGGCTCACTTCATCCATAACCTAACCAGAAGGGACGACAGAAACAAGCTATAAGTCGATCTCAAATGGTATTACGCAATCGCACCAGTAGTTGTTTACGGCGATGAGGGCACTATCCTTGTTTATCCGTTTGCTACCATCAGCGAAATGCCGAGTAGCCCAGCAAATACACTCGCAGTTGACAGCAGTCGCAAGTGTGTGATTTTGGATGATCAAAAAACCATTAACCAAGACGATAGATGTGGTTGACCTTAATCAGATTCCTGTAGAAATCCGCTGTCATACTGCATGTTGCCCCGACTGACTCAAAGAACGAATCCAAGGAAGGCTCCAGTGAAAGGGACAGTAACCGGACAATGGAAAGCTGTTCTGCTTTCAGCCAAGACTGCTAGTAGGCTAAGCCGGTCCGCTGGATCATAATTGTGACGCGGATCATCGGAGTCTATCTGGGACAGTGACGCAGCAACTTCCAGCATCGACCAGATCCGACACCAGCCGGTGCCGTTTAAGCGAAACAGGCACCTGGCCATGAAGGCTTCCATCACCATCGATGTAATACTGTAACAACTCAATCACCTTGCTTGCTCTGTTGGACCCGATTTGGCGCAAGGGGAAAGTACCATTTGACTGGAGGAAATAGACCGTCAACGTCATTTTAAAACAAGCCAAAGGACGTCATGCGAAAATCAATGTGATGGCGGACACTTCTCCAATGCCTCCAAGTAAGTTACCAGGGTATTGAGACGGTGCGCAAATCCTCGTAAAATCCAGGAGTGACCTCTCCCCTGCCAGATAGCGTAAAAGTAAGTTTACTCATCGCTAAGTGCCAGGAACTTAATCACTCTGTGGTAGCATTCCCTTATCCTGAACTTGCACATGACTCAGTTGATGGCAGCGCTGCCTATGTTTGGAGGGCGCACCTGGGAAGTTTTAGTATTCCAAAAGTTGTATACGACATTGCCCGTCGCAATGTAATGGTCCGCTGGAAGCTCCTCACCAAGTTCACCATTACAGATGGAAAGCGACAGGACTACCGAAACCGTCCCCCTCCCTCGTTCTAGCTTTATGTAGGAAACGATGATAAATGAGCCTGTTCTGCCACCCACCAATTTCTATTGAGTAGATGCAATGCTGAGCAACCGGCCGGAAACAAAGGGTACGCGGACCACATATATATCGTTGAGTCGTAATAAATCACTACGTAAGTTTCACTCAATAGACAGTCTCTTCGTACTTGCAAAGTGCAAAACATCGGAAATAATAAGGTGTACTGTTCGAGCACCAACGCCTGCGAGTATTATACATGGTTGTAGCATCGGGGATGCCTCAGTGGAGTGTCTGAGGAACTAGGATCGCCAGTGGTGCTTCGGCCTTGCTGTGAACAATGTTTTACAATAATGTGCTTGGCTGGATAAGACCACTAGGGTGAAATATACTAAAGACTGAGAGGCTGAGCTGCGTCTGATCCTGTCGTTTTGTTGGATGAGGTTTTGTGAACCGATCACATCAGCGGTTAAGTGCCCCGTCAGAGCTGTATTCGTTCCTACACTTCTCACTTTTAACTATTCAGACGGACGAGCACAAATCACGTCCATTCGCCCTGAGCTAGTATAGCTATGCTCAGTGTTGCCAGTAATTTGACAACGTGAGTTCATGTAGCTAAATCCTCAGTTGATCAGGGGAACAGAAACGGAACTGGTGGTACGTATCGAGGCGCAGCGCCATTGCGGTTCTGTGCATCTGGATTCAAACGCAGCAAGACCACTGATCAGAAATTAAGTGAACTGTGCGGCGTTGGACAACGGCAGTACAGGTCTTGGCTCCGAAAGCTGGCTTGTCTGGCCAAGTGCTAATTCTTTTTATTAGGATGTCAGTTAAAGGACGAGATCAACGTTGATACCATTTAGTTTCTGTACCTTGAGTCTATACTGGTGGCGTATTGTTAATGAAAAAAGATACGGAGCAGTTGTAGTCAGAAGCCATCCATTTGACAGTTTTTATGTATTTGCCTGGCAGGAGAGCATAGTAAGATCTGTACAAGTTCTGTGCAAGCAACGATGCTGCCAATGTTATTCTAAGTAGTTTGGGTAAGCTCGGAACAACACGATGGGCAGGGTATTAGTCGGGAGAGATAACCATAAAACTGGATAAGTAACAAAGTTAAACGGCACAGAGGAAGAGAAACGATGAGAAAGACTGTAAACAAGACTGTAAGCAACCGGTCTGTTAGGCCAGTCAATGGCAAATGGCGAATAGTGAAATCAATGGCAAACGATATATCTGGTAGGCCAGACCGAGGTAGAATCACAGAAGTTAGAAACATCGGAAAAGACTAGACTTGTTCGGATGCGTATGAAAAAGTAACATTGTTGGGATGACGGCGGGATAAGCTCGACCGAGTGCGTAGCTGAGAAACCGGTAGCCTGAGATGATGAAGATAGCAGTTGCATCAGGAGGGACGACTTAAGTGAATTGAAAGGGCTTGATTAATTTCTGATCAACCAACCAATCAGCTGCAGAGAATAAGTTCCAATGGAAGGAGCTTAAAACTTGGCAACTTCTATCCCAGTCAATAAGGCCAAGACGACACAATCGGTGGGCCAAAACTAAGCGTACGGCGAGTTGGATGCGAGCAATGATGACGTGTTGAGGCTCATGTGCGCTGGCCTGATTTAAAGAGGCTTGATATGGAGGAGCAGACGGCAGCGGTGGGATAGACAAGCAAGGATTCAAGACGGCAAAGGGATTTAGAAGATAAGTCAACGCATGGCTGGCCTCATCGATTGAACAACCAGGAACTTGTGCGCGAACGCAATCGATCTAAAAGGAGAAAAGAAAGAAGGATGACATGCCAAAACAGACAGTAAGGGATTTATGTCGGTAATTTTCACTGACAACAAATGGAATCATAAGTAGAGTATCTAGCGTCTGTGTGGAGAGTAAATCGATCTAGGGGCAGATAAGTTCTTACACATAGTGAGTGCCAACATGTGGAGAGGACACCACGAGTACCTTTTGGAGAATGAAAAATGCCATGGGGGAAGCGGCGTTGTACATTGCATCCCTTAAGTGGTTTTATTGTTGACCGAGTCAGGTGGGACTCAAACCGAGTATCTCATTGCTGGAAACTACCGATCCAACTGCTCGATAAAAGATCTTAATTTCCGCTCTAAATGTAATGAGAATAGAAGAGTTGGAACTGATACCCGTACAAACAGCCGAGGTGGAAACCGTTTTTAAGTCCAATGACAGTTCGAGAAAGGTATGGAAAAGCGAGTGATGGCACCGAATATTCTTCAAGACATCATATAGTATAAGGTTAACAATCGACAAAAAGTTAATCACTAGGCGTGCTGAACTGTGTAAAAGAGATAGAATGGGGTTGGAAGCTGTATCACAGCCAATTGGGCGGTGACGTAAGCTGTTAGTTTCATCAAACAGTGTCTAAGCTTGAGGCTGGGAGTTTGCAACTAAACAAGGATTTAAAACGGAATGGTTCCTAACAAATAGCAGCACAGGTAAAAAGAGCACAAAATATAGAGGAGCGGGAGCCCGAGGTACCAGACAAAACCAAAGGAGTAGATGAAATGAAGACGGTAATCAGCTAGTAGACAGTTCAGATATCCGTCAGCAAATAATCCTTAGCATTAGCGTGAGATCACTATTGCAGGGGAGCAAAAGATCGAATATCACACAACTGAACAGGCCAGATCTCCCAGCTATCAAAAGTACCATCAATCGTAGTGATGCAAATTCAGTCTATCAGGGAGAGGACAAACAACCCTGGCGTTCGGATGGTAAGGGTAAGCAACTCTGTGGACTAATATACCGGTGGATTACACAGGGTGGGTAAGAAGACGAGTATTATCGTGCGTGTATAGGTTTTAAAATAGGAAATTTATACCAAGCAAGGTAAACAAAGTAGCTGACTTGGATGTAAATGTGATGTTCCAGGTGGATCCATAGGCGAAACAAGATCAGATGGAGTGCAAATTCAGACCATAAAACAATCCCTAATGTGCGCAGTAATTACTACGAGAGGCTACAAAACTACCAGAGTAAGTGGATCGGCACATGAGCTCAGGCGCTCATCTCCTAAGACGTGAGAATATAGGGAAGAAGCAAAACTGGAGGCGTCCTATGTCAAGTACTTAGGTCATAAGAGACCAAAAGTATTTTCACAACCAGCGACGGATAGATCTAAATACCAGAGCAAGAAAAATGAGGAAACAGGACAGCCCGTAGTGTGTTAAAGTTGCCCGGACGGAGTGGAAAGGGAGTGTACTACCGAGTTATGCATAAAACAGTGGAGTGGCATGCATAAAAGAAGAGTGCAGTGTGTGAAAGCAAAGGGAGCTTGCGGTCGGTGGAAGATTATCAAGATAAAAATATCAGAAAAAGTGTAATATGAAGATGCCAAGGTTGGATAAGGAGAGGAGAGATGCCTTGTGCCAGCTATGGGTCTACAGCTTTGATATAAAAAGTACAAGCAGTTGCGCTAAGGTCGTTTTTTTAAAATGAAATGATGTCTGACTATATGTATCAGTCAGGGATAAGTGCCAATGACATGTGCTCAGCAATTTCCCGTCTGTCAGTTTAGATGATAATGAAAGGCCTCCGAATTGGTACAGAAAGGCCAGGATGGAAAACTCACCTCTCCAGCCAAAGGATCCATTACGGTGTTAAACGCACCAGTTGAACCTAGACAAATAAGAAGGGGCAAAGGAAGCAGTATTGGATGAGAAGAAGTAAAACAACAACAACGGATGATACGCGAAAGAGATGAGCAGCATTGAATAAGCAGTTCATGGCACAGCGCCATGTACACGCACCGGAAGTTTGTAAGTTGTCCTTTTTGGGATTACTTAGTTGAAATGCGGAATTCTGCAAAAGAAAAGAGTTGGATAGTCGTGTGAAAACAGGGGAGTTGAGACAGTAAAAAGGGTAGAAATGCCAAAAATTCGATGGTATTCATACGATCCACAATGATTAGAATATACAATATTCTGTGTCAAACCAAACAACGATAGATGGTGGTGTTTACAAAAGTAGATGAACATACTGCAGTGTAAATTGGATGTCGGGCTTCGAAGGAGTGACATTGGAACCAGGTAAATTCTTAGAAATAACAATCGGAAGAATGGGACCAGCGTTCATCAATCGGTACGATGTAGATGTATGTGCATACCAAATCTCGAACAGTGAAGAAACAGAAAGTGTGTTTTTGGCCAAGTGACATAACAGACCATCCGAGGTTCACTTGTGGTTGAAGTGCGACACAAGGGCATATGAGTGACTAGGCGGGTTATGTCACGAACGGAAGCTTAGAGACTACCCGAGTAACAGCTGGTAAAAAGGAGCATTCTCAGCGACTCATGCAGAACGCCAGTTTGAGACGAACAATTGTTTTCAACGATGCACTTATGAACCCGTACAATTCATTTAACATACAAAGAAATGAACGGTGACTGATTCAGACGTATTTTTCCGACAAGAATAGGTTAATGGCCAGACAGCAAATAGTCCGCCACTGTCTTGTTTACATGGTTTTGAGGTTATGTAATCACACTGACTGAACGAATGTCAGAGTGCCAGTTTGTCGGGTCGAATGAACAAACATTTCTGTGAGAATTACGGGGCTAAAATATCCTGGTCATACTAACTTCTATTGTGGCGCGTAAGCTATGACACAGACAACTCGATGTGGTAATGGGGACTTGGCAAACCACAGAAAACGCATTCGGGAGGCTAACCCTGCGACCAGATTCAAACAAGTGGGACAAAATTCCGCCTGTCGGAACCCCGGTGTCTTTGTTCGCCCGAAATCTAGGACTATGTTCCTTAATGTGACGTGACAAATGACGAACAGTTCAACCGACATTTGTTGCACTACAGGTGCACTCAAATCGATTGAGTATGAGGTGAAGCAAGCTTCTTTGTTCCGCACAGAAACAAGCTGGTTCATGACGAAGATATATAGCAACTCTGTAAGCGAAAAAATATTCCTTATTAATTATGTCAATCTTCTTGTTCTAAGCTCATCAATTCTCACTTTTGGAACGAAAGCGGATCGAGGGAACTCTCGTTTCAAGTACTTGTTCAACGTCCAACATAGCTCTGAAATGAATGTAGCGCTAGATGAATAGATCCGGATAATCATTTTCGCATAACCTGTTCTGTATAGGTCTCAACTTATCCGTCAGAGCATCTCTGAGTATATCATCCGAGTCCTCGACATGAGACAGTGTACTAGATTGCGATTGCACTTAAGCGGCACGAAACTACTGAAAATTGTATGCTGACCAGCTCACATTTTCTTTCTGTAGGTCCTCCTTAATTGGGAATCATCAGTTCAGGTATACATCCGGAAACATGAGCTGGCTTTCTTGCTCAAGTTCATTCGATTGCCGGATGCGCATGAGTAAACTCTGCCACTATATCTTCTCGGCTCATATCGTATTCAGTCACGCCAAATATAAATAAACAAAATTTTTATTCTCGACTGTGTCGTTCATATAACGGCAGTAACGAGCGAAACGCGCTATAAGTGTACTCAGACTAAGTTTCTAGTTTGACAAGAAAAATATCAGCCTACACAGGTTTGAGTGGGAACCGCATCACGACTCCGTCATTTTTGCCGGTAATACGTACCGTTGAAAAGAAATTGGATATTGTAAGTGGATCTCAAAAGCAACTCTTTAAGGCTTGGAAAGGGCACACTTAAATGAATATTATTCTAGTACACTTAGTTGTATATGTATCCTGTCATTTCCAGCAACGGAACATTCGTAAGTACAAGAGGAAAATCGAGTGAAGACATCTATTTTCTTTTAGGTTCCAATCTTTAAGGTGTTGTATTAATGTAAAACTATCATGAACACCATGTTGAGCAATTCGTTTGCTCATAGGTTCAAACATTTCTGCCAACCAATGGACTGTGAAATAGTACGCTGAATTTGTCATGGTCAATACTGAACGCAGATATACGCCATCTTTCCGAAATTTTAGGAGCCCATACATTCCGACTGGCTCTGAACTTTCAAAGAAATAGCCAGGTATTAACTTGCTGGTAGATAGAGCTTTCAGGTTTCGTTCCAAACGGTCCTTCTCGCCTACTGTTTTATAAAATTTTGTTTTGTGTTGGAGAAACGGGTATAATTTTTGAAATGCAATCACTTCTATCCATTAAGACAATAACACTACCATTGTCCGTCTTGCGGATGACTATCTTTGTTCTTCTTCAACTGGTTCAGAGCCACCAAATGTTTAAGTCTAATCAAGCCACACTGATTTGCCTGAGCTGTTGAACATAATTCACAAACTGCTGATGTTCCTCTGAAATGAGTGCCCCAACACAGGATCGTCTATGTGCGATGGTTTTTGAAGATCAGGAATTTTACCACAAGATGTATCATATTGGTTTAGCGAGTGACGACGAATTTTGTCCCATCTATTCTTTACCAGCTTTTCGTGAACCAATCAAAATGTCTGTGTTTACGTATGCCCGCCACAACAGAAGCTAGTACGACGCGAATATTACAATCCCAGTAATTCAATCGACCTGACCGAAAAGCAGCCCGCCCAACCATCGCTCTGACATTTATTCAGTCAGTGTGATTAGGTAATCTCAAAACGATGTGAACAAGACAATGGCGGGCTAGTTGTTGTCTTACCATTGACATATTAATGTTGGAAAATATGTCTGAATTAGTCACCGTCCATTCCTTTGTATGTTGCAATTAGATAGTTTATGCCGCCCATAGAGTTTAGTTAACTTTGAAAGCTTAGGTTTCATGTGAATCACTGCGAACAGAGGGGGCAATGAGAAGCTAGAATGAAAACAAGTAATCAAATGTTGGATCGGACTGTGGCACAAGGGGACTAATGGGGTAACATATCACATGACATAAGCAAGTGAAGACAGCTAGTAACGGCAGCGTAAAAAATGGAAGCGACAGCCATTGGAGGACATAAAACTCGAAGCACGAGATTGGTTGTATCATGCGAAATACCACCGTAATATGCTTGAAATGGCTTTGAGGATGGTAATCGCTTTCACGTGAGGCAAAGTACGTAGTGAACACGGTATGCGTAAAGTACGAATTGCTACATCTGTCACTCGTATCCAGGAGCAAACCAGGACATACATAGCAAATGGACATGAGACCTTGAATAGATATCGCCTCGGTCACTTTCAGATATATTGATGTATCGCAGTCCCCACAGATGATTAAAACTCCGAAAAAGTAGTAAGACCTCACCATCGCGCATATCATGCTATTTAATGCTCCGGAAGCCAGTATGCAAATACTGCCAGAACGGATCGATGGACGCGTCCGAGTCATCATTGGACGATTGGGAAAATGTGATACTTTAAAAAGTGGCAAGTCAGAAAACAGCACAATAAATATGTATGGCCTAGTATGTTTTCAGTGTTGAAACGGATTGTGAAGATAAGCAGCATGCCTGTGAGTGAGATGTATGTATCGTGGCCTCACGCACCAGCAAGAGGAGCGAGTCGGTGGTTGATAGTGGGGATATGCTGAGCTGTGCTGGTAACAACATTGAAGTTGAAATGTTGACACAATATAAGAGAGCAAGGGCAGGCCAGTACGCCATGCGAGACCATAATCTTCGTGCTATACCAGTTAATATAGCGATGAACGGGCTGATACAGACACCGTACGATTCGCCCGCGCCTACACCGTGGTGAAGCAATCTGAGACACCAGAGGGTGCCGGAATACTGGTCGACTCAAGTTGCGTCGGTGTTCACGTCAGACGGGTTAATAAACTAAGTAACCGACTGCTTGCTACCCGGGTTATTACAAGGATAATAAGGAATCGTGAAGCAAGGGGAATGAGGAGAGAGTGCAACGAAATATATGGAAAGAAATTCAACGAAAGATGGATTGGAAAAGGAGAAGTGTTAGATGAGGGAGTCAGTGTAAGGTGGGTTGATTGTGTAACAAGGTAGACATCTACCCACGCACTTTTGAGTCGTGTTATCTCAAGTTAACACCCGATACAGAGTGCACGGATAGAGTTGCAAGTGGTAAATCAAGGTCCTGCTGTGATACTCAGGGAAGCACCGGGCTCTGCTATTGACAATAATCATTTAATGATATGAAACCGAATCCGGATGCAGACAACCAAGTCAACACTAAAAGCACTGAATGGGGAATGAAAAAATACACTGAAAGTTGATAAGCGGAAACATGTTTTGGTGTGCACATAGGTAGTCAGACTAAAGAGGAAGTTTGACTATAATATACACAATACGTGGGTTGTGCGGAATATGGAGAAGAGAAAGTGAGGAATTCCGTTATCGATCGCGCGTCCCGATGACCATGGAAATGGGTGGGAAAGCGATCGATGAGCTACTGAGGCCGATAACGAGTCAGTTCTTGTCGCGCACTTCAGCCGAAAAATAGAAACGAGACAAAAATATGCACCGACGCCTGATGCTATGAGAACCATGGAAACACGAAAATACGTAAGAGACGGAAACTAGAAAATTGTGTGACAATATCAACGGTGGACAAGCGCGGAAAGAGATTTATCTGGCCACCAAAGCCAGATTGGATTGTGGTAAGAGATGTGTGACTCGGATGAGGTGCAGCCTGAAACAAAGGAATAAACGATCCACGGGTTGACAAAACCAAACAACTGTAAATTATCCTTAAGTGTGGTAAGCCCATCTGGAAGCATGTCATTTACACCCATTTTCAACGACATGCAATAAGAAACTTGGTTTAGCTGAAAAGCCCCACGCCACATGGATGGAAATATTGAAGAATGGGTCAAGTGAAGGAACCCCTGAAGATGCAATTTCTGAGTCAATAAACTGGTCAGCATCAAGCAGACATGGTTATAAAAATGTTC